ACAACGTTAATTATTCCGACCCATGAACATGAGATGTCTTTCCATATCACAGAATTGAAAAGTTTTTGTTCACTTGTTTAGTTTTAACTGTTGCAAATGCAATTTGATACTAGTTTTATTTTTTTCTTGTTAAGTAACCTCTTTCTTCTGTAAATTTTTAGGATTGTTCTGTTATCTTGAAATTTAAACATTTCACTAGTGTGTTTTAAAGTACTTAGCAGGTCCTATATCTTTAATAATTTAAAGAGCTGTGCCTTTTAGCTCGGGAAAATTGCCTTGCTTTAGTGGTGCTTCTCAGTTTTTCTATTTCTGAGTCCCGTTGAAGATAGTTTTTAGACCTTTTGGATTTGTCATCTGTGTCCTTTAACCTTTGTTTCTCTACATCTTTTTATGTATGTTTTGTTTGTGAACTTGATATCTCTAGCTATATTCATTCCTTTGCAGTTAAAATGTTAACTGGTTTTGGTTTTACATTTAATACTTTTAAATAGATATGATTTCCCTCTTCTGAGAATATTTTATTCTGTTTCTGGTATTTGCTCTCTTTCCTCATGGATCAGTTCAGTTTGTATTTACACACCTTCATGGTGCGCATATTTGTCATTAAATGTTAATATTGATCAATATTGGTAGCTGGAATGTATTTCCTAACCCAAGAGAGATCCCATGTCTTTCTGGCTTTAATGACAAATTGTAGTTACAGACATTATGGGAACAGGGAGGAATTACCTGCAACTTAACATCTTTTCTATGTGGGTATGTAGTTTGTCATCTAGACTGAACTTCCACATGGTTTTCATAGATTGGGGCCACTGCCTTCCTCCTGTCCCTTACATCCTGTGGGGGAGGCTGTCTTTGGGGCAGCCATGTGAACTAGTCCAATAAAGTAGACAAATGGAAGGTAAGAGAATAAATGGAGAAGAAACACTGGTCAGTTTTGTACATCTTCAATTTCAGCAGTACATTAATTAATCATTTGACTTTTTTATAAACATCAGATCTTTTGTGCAAGACCCTCGCGGTGTCTTCTGTTACTCAGAGGTTCTGCTAGCAAAGCACATTTTTGAGGTGTTCCTGTTAGGTGTGGGCTTTGGTTGTTTTCAATCTCCTCTCCCACCACCACCACCTTTTAAATTTACAAGTAGTCTTTGATGTATCTGTGGGTTAGTTTTTATTTCTATTGGATTGGGGGAGAGAGGAGGAAAGGGTATGGAGGAGCTTGGGGTTAGCGTGAACACTTTGTAATTTTCAAGAGGAATTTGATAAGGAATCTTATGAGTGTAGCACTTCCATTCTCAACTTATTGGTTGATATGTTGAATTTTATGGGCATCTTGAAGTTGAATTATTTCCCTAAATGTTAAGGAACAGAAAGTACAGTATTTGGCACACAGCAGTTAACTGTAAAATAATTATATACAGACATGCACTGCATAACATTTCTGTCAGTATCAACCACATAACTATCTAATGGTGTTCCCATAAGATTGTAATACTGTATTTTTACTGTACCTTTTCTATGTTTAGATACACAAATATTTACCATTGTGTTGTTAATAGTTGCCTCAAAATTTAGCACAAACATGCTGTACAGGTTTGTAGCCTAGGAGCAAAAGACTATACCTTATAGCTTAGGTGCAGGGTAGGCTACTCCATCTATGTTTATGTGAGTACACTCTTGATGTTCCCACAAGGACAGAATCACCTAATAACACATGACTCAGACATATCCTTGTTAAACAACATGTGACTTGTATAAGGTATGGTATGTGTTTTATGATATTTGTGGTAGTAAAAGTATTATACTTTTTCTCATTGCTTACTATTATTGAATACTGTGCCAGTACAGTGTTTCTAATTATGGTACCTACTTTTCTTCCCTAGAATTTGTTGTTCTTGGATAGGATCGTTCATATTGTTACTGTAATGTTTGATTGCATCGACTTCTCGCCATATGATATTAAATATAAGCCCAAAGTTAAATGTAAGTATTTTTTTTTTCTTTTACATTTATTTGTTGTGTGTCATCTAATATTTCATAGGCACTACTAAACTGTTCTCAGGGAAAACCCTAATGACATTTCCCACCTCATTTTACTAACTTTTGATCTTGTTTAGCCATGTCAGTTACTGTGCTAGGATTTTGTGTACATGTTCTTGTTTTCTCTCTGTCTCTCACACACACATGATATCTTTACTTATTTTTTTTAACAACACAGAAATATAAGTATTATTCTAATTAGAGATTGCCTAATAATACAAATGATTGTACTCATTTCATTTGATATGAGGGAATATCTGGACAAGAAATTTAGACATTATTTAAAATGTTTTTATTTGGAAACCTGATTTGAAAAATAACTGTCAAATTGACATTAAAATTGAAAAGGAAATCATAGAATCAGATAATTGGTTATTATTTTGTAGGAAATTTAAAATTATTCTAAAAATTTAACTCAGTTTTTGCCATTTTTGTTAAAATTGGAGAATTGGAATTGATAACAAGTCTGATTTTTAAAACTGCATACCTTGGTTAATTTTAAATTATTTTGTAGTAAATACTGATGTATTTTAATCTACTAGTTGATTCTTTGAAGTAGCATTTATCCACCTGTGTTTATATGTTTATACAATATAGGAAATTATAACTTGTCATAATGAAAGATGTTAGTTGATGTTGAGATATTTTATTTTTTCT